AGGCAGCTGCAGTAAATGATCCAGCATTCCTGCAGGACCTGTGAACCTTTGAAAGGTCACAGGTCCTGCAGTGACACACAGATGACCTCCTGGGGGCGTTGTCAACAGCCCAACAGCTCATTTATCAGCTCACACTACCTGTTTAAGCTGCTTTTCTAAACTGCTGTGATAAAAATTGTTTTTTTTCCCCCTTTGTTTAAGGTTTTATTCAGTTTTTGATGGTTCTGGTTTACCACTCTATTGGTTTTTAGGGTAAGCTTTGTTTTGTTCTCAGTCACTTAGCACATCTGTGCCATAACTTTGGTGGCTATGACATATTGAGAGTTTTCTCTGGTTCCTTGTCAGATCGTTGTCTTTGTCTCCAGTTCTCTTATTTTCTCATTTGCTTTGCTGTTGCCAATTAAGAGGCAGGTCAAATACGGGAAAATAAAAGCTGGATTAGTGCGTTACTAATTGTTTCCTCATGCTAATTCTTTTATAGGCTGCTTAGTCAGGCTCTACTTTGACGTCCTGTTTCTACAGCGTGGGTGGGAGTTTGTCCCGTCACTGGCAGGTTGCTGGTTCAATCATGGCTTCGTCTGTCTCAGCTGTTGTGTTCTTGGGCAAGACGCTTCACCCGCCTTGCTTGCTGTTGGTGGTCAGAGGACCCAGTGGTGCTGGTGCATGGCAGCCTCGCTTCTCTCACACTGTAGCTACAGCGTAGTCGCGAGCCACCATCAGTGCGAATGTGTGCGTGAATGACTGGTAAAGAGCTTTGGGGTCTTCTGAACTTGATCATGAAAGTTCAGGCCACTTACCCACATTTGTTCAGTCACAGCTATGGAGAGACTCTGTTTTGACCATAATTTATTTAGGAAACAATCTTATTGGGACTTATTTGTGAAGCCAGAGCAAAAGATTAACATTTAAGGATTGTGTTTAAAGAAAAATATCTAAAATGGTAAGTAGTCTTATTTTGTTTAGAAAAAATGTTTGTACTGTTTATGGCGGTAGGCAGTTATCTGATCCACATGTCCTGGTCTAGTTGACCCCACCAAGTAGAGGAAAACATACAACTGACCAGCGTGCTAATCTGCAGGACCTCAGCTTGCTGCAGACAGGGGACCTGTGGCCTTGGCCAGAAAGAGTGCTAAGTGGTGTCTGAGAGGAACTGTGAGTGCTGCAAAAGAAAAAGCTTTTCTGCACTAGAACAGAAAACAAGCCATTTGGCCACGGGCTTCTGATTTTGTTGCTTTCATGGCTTCATTCGTTGACCGCGTGTCCTTCAGCGCGATTCACAACAAGATGGAACCATTAACTGTACAAAAGGCAAAAACCATCTTGGATCTGGGTTTTTTAAAATATTTTCTTTGCCTCTCAAGTTGGACTGAGGGCAGACAGGACGCTTCACCGACTCCACGTCTCATATTAAGGGGCATTTTGAAAGGTTACCATCTTTTAGCTGTGTGGAGTTTAGAAGATACTTCAGAAAAACAACATCTCAGCATCTCTTGCATTTGTTTTCATTTTATACCATCGGTTCAGTTTTGCCAGCTTTCAAGACAATCTCTATTTACATACAAAATATAAATCTTTCATCAGACGATACATTCCTTCTTTTCATAGTTGTTCATTTTAGCTAAATGTAGGAACAATAAATTACATTTTTATGTTTTTATTTCTTCCCTCAGTTCCTCTTGCTTTGTGTTTTAGTTCATCTCCATCTGTGTTCACTGTGGTAATCAGTTCCTCTGGTTGGCTCGCTCTTTTTTCTCAAAGTTGATCCAAATCCCCCTGATTAATCTGACCTGGAGGGAACTGCTATCATTCAACCCCCTTTTGTTGGTATAAACCCTCTGGGTTTTTATTACTTTGTATTGCTGATTCTTCCATTATGATTCCTTTGATTCATTTCCTGTCTTCCTCTTTCTGTGACTTTATTGTTTTCATCCAGCTTTCTATCACATTAATCCTGAACTCTTGACTTCAGATTGAGCCAAAGGTGCATGACACAAGCTGAAATAAGTCTCTCTAATGTACTCTAATTTATTGAATTTAACTCCATATGTGTACTTTAGGTATGCTTGTTTTTAAATACACGCACCCATCATTTACATTTCTAAAGCTAATTTAAATTAAAGGTAATTTTTTTCTAAAAAATGATTATGTCTCACACGTGTGACTGTCTTCACATCTGTCCTTTTTGCAGTGTGCTATCCCCCAAGAGCCTGTAAGTTCATAACTCTACTCAGATCCCTACAAACCCTTTACTCCCAATTTAGATTTCTTTATGTTAACATCCATGTTCATGAACTTAGTGGAAAACATCAGGCATCATTTGGAAAATAGGAGAGGCAGAGAGAGGTCTTTTGTACTCGGCAGAAATCAAACTAATCTTCACTGTCTACCCAGCCATCTTTTTGCGTACACTGATCAGAAAAGAAGCAACCTTGAAGAACTGCTGCAAAAGATAAGAAAGAGGTATTAAATTCAAGGAATATATGTGTGTGCAAGTCTGGTTCTCGTTTTTGCCATAGAGAATCATTATTTGTACTAACAGCTCACATCGCGCCTCATTTTTCCTGCGTGTTCAGACTGTTGTTCATCAAGTCTCAGGACGAGCCAGGAAGAAGCGAGGTTAAAGGGAGCAGATTATGTTGAGGGTTAATGAATCAGTGTTACTCTCCAGAAACGTAGATGACATCAATGTGACCGTGGGACTGTGTGAGCGCAAACGGGGGCTCAGGAGGTGGGTGGTCTGTCTGCTCTGCTATGCTACAAGCAGACAGAGACATGAAGCTAAAAGTCCTCTCTGCTGGCTGCAGACGTTATCCAGCTGGAGTCACACCAAGCCACCAGCAATATGTTTCCCCAGACCGGGAGCCGAATGGAGCAGAGGGCATCTAATGAACCAGAAATCTCTGCTCCCTTCTTCAATTTGAAAAGCTACTAAATCTTCACCCCCGGTCTGCATGTGGATCAAATGGGCAGGAAAGAAGCGGCTTCATGGGCCATTTATTATTCCTTCTTCAGACCTAATCTATCTGCAACCTCACCGTTATATTTCAAACACAAAATCCCACGAGAAAAATCTTTCTCAGACTTATGGACGTGGTGATTTATGCGCTTCGAAATCAGATAAATAAGCAGTCGACGCCTCGTCAGAGCTGGTCTGTCTTGTGGATTCAAATTAGTGTTTTGGCTTTCAAGGAAGAGGAAACTTTCAAAGCCGGAAACTACGACCGATCTGTTTTTCCTGACGCAACACATTATTAGCTGTGTTATTTACTTGGGAGTCAAATCAAATCCTAAAATAATCCATCAGCTGTGAAAGTCAGCTTAGTGTGGCTGTTGTTCAGCTGCTCCTCTTTGCATTTCTGTGTTATATGCATGTGGCTCTCCTTCCTGACAGTGTTGTTACATTTTGCTCTGGGTGTCCACACTGAGGGATAGCATGGATATTGAATATCCATGCAAAACCAAGGATTTAGTCCCTCTGTACATGAAAAATATAAAAAATATGAAAATATGCTTTTTAATCCAGGCAGCAAAAACTTTCACTAAGTTTGACATTTTCCTGAAAATGACTGATCTGTGTTGAGACAAAACTCAATTTTGTTTTGTACATTTTGACAAAGAAAAAAGTCAAATAAGAGCCACTGTACAGTGGAAATAAAATGTTTACACAGCTTGTGGAAATGTTTGATTTATGTGCCTGGAAGAATATGAGATCATGGTAAATTATTTTAAAGCCTTTTTCAGAAGTGATGCGACAGATATTTTGCAAATTTCAATGATCAAAATAGAAGGACAGACATAACAAATAAAAATGTACAATAAAGCGATTTCAACCCTTAAGTAGTACGTGTGTTGGAGAAGCTTTTGAGTTCACTTTGAATATTAAGTGAGGGTGGATCAAGTTTCTTGACATGTACTCATTGTTATCCGATCACTGAAGTCATAGTTTGAAGAGTCTGCAAATTATTAAAATAATCTAATTGTATGAAAGTCCAAGTCAGGGGAACTGACTGATGGCTGAACTGTTGGACTCATTGTATGTTTAGTGAAAACTAAGAAACGATGGTTGCCAAATTATGATTTGGAAATGCTATTCTATAAATAGAAGATGGATGATATTTTATTTGTTGTTCTAACAACCTGATTTCACCAAAAACGTTCAGTTTCCTACAAGAAAGATGAAGCAAAATAACATTTTTCAGCATCACAAAATGTTCTGCTTTATGAAATCCAGGCTAAAGTTCAGAACTAAATCTTCCTGAAAATCACTGTACAATGTAACAAGTGTGAGGGGAGATGATGAGGTGTGTTAGAGTGAGACTGGGATAAGAAGATCATTACATCAAACCAACTATGCTTTGGTTACTAACTTGTATTTCTGCATATATTTCAGGATATTGTGCATTCCTTCAATCAAACAGAACGAGTGTAAATACAACTATTTCATTAATACAACATGTCCAAACAAGTTGTCACGACTTAACATTCTCCTGTCAAAAGGCTCATCTCACCCCAAATCGAACATTTTGACTTTATTCGCTAAAATCCTTTCATGCTGGTTTCTGACCTCGTCTTGTAGCTCATAGATAACACAACTCATTCATAAAACAGATGTCAAAATATTAATAATGACATTAAACATGATTCTTCTTTTGACTGTTTCCTAGCAGCAAGGGGTGACTCAACTCACCCTTTGCCTGAGTTCAGTGTAATGTTTAAAGGGAATCAAATGCAGATTCATGAACATTTCCTATTGAAAGGTTTGTACTTTAGTGCAGTCAGGTTATTGAAACATTTCTTTTTCCAGAATAAATGATGGATAGTGTAAAAAAAAGTTTTGAGATCATTAATTGGATCCTCTAAATCCACTTCAGGAGCGCGTGTGCGAATGTGTTTACATGGCTTTGTGTCTCTCTGTTGCTCTGTGATGCTGGTGACCCACTGACCCCATGAGATGGACACCCACCCTCCCCCCTCACGGATGAATGGATGATGGCGCAGAATTGATTCAAAGAAATCTTTAATAAAAGACAAGTGTTATCACCCTTTTTGAGAAGATTGACACGGACTCATAACAAACATACCATGACACAGTACGCAACGTTACTCAAGCGCATCGCGTACTTTTGAACACACTCAGAGTACACAGAGACTGATTACTACCACTGATTATCTTCCAAATCCACTCTACTACAGTATTTCATTTGGCTGTTGGTACAGTACAACTTTAGCACACAAAAGGAATGTATAATGCGTATATTGTGAAACACGGTGTCCTGGTTTGCAGCAATGATCCACTGAGGGGAGAGACAGTCTAAAAGGGGGAGAGGGGATGAAACAAGAAATCCCTTACTAGCCCACAGTAGCAGGATGTTACAACAACCTCCATGTAAATGGATGGGGAAGAAACAGGAAGACGAGAGACATAAGGAAGAGGCAGGGTGTTTGCTGTCAGGAGTGGCAGGTGAAAAAGAAACGGGAGGCAGGAGACACCGGCAGGGAGAGGAGCGAGTAGAGAAGGAGCAGCGGAGGTGTGAGAGGTTAAAGCGTTCCTTCGTCCAGCAGTTTGTTGATGCCGTTGCAGATCTTCCTTAGAGAGAGTCTGTACTCCTCTCCGTCCCCGTACAGCTCCGCCAGGAAATCCCCGTTGGAAAAATGGTTGAAAACGTGGTCGATGCGTGCGTGTGAGCGCGCGGTCAGGTGCCCCTCCACCAGGGTGTGAAGCAGGTCCCTGCACTCCAGCAGGAGCTCCGCCAGGATATTCCTGTCAAAGGTATATTCCACCTCGTAAAACGACACCGCCGTCATGGCCGCCTGGTTCATCTTCTTCTTGAAGCGCTCCACGGTGTCCAGCTCGTCGGGACTGAACTGGTGGTTGCGGTACAAGATGCCAATCTTCAGGGCAATCTTGATCACGTCCTTGATGATCTTGTGCGCTTCCTTCTTGCTCTTGGTGAACTCCCGGGTCGCTTTGTAAAGCTCGTCCAGGATCTCACTGCTGGTGTCGTCCGTGAGCATGTTGGCCACCGCCATGGTCGCCATCTTGCTCAGGATCTTCTTTTGGGCTTGCATGGCCAGGGAGCGAGAGTTAAAGCTCTCCTGTCCTGAAGGAAGACAAAAGCGACAGAGAGCAGGATGTGAGATGAGAAGGTAACTCAAAGTTTCACAGCAACATTAAAAGAAAACAGCAGTAGATGTTGCTGAAATATTGCTTTTCTACAGCCTGTGGGTTCATAACGCTAACGGGTCATTTATCAGAGCTCACAGGGCGCTTACCCCATTTCAGAGTGCTGCATGATAAGGCAACTTCTTTGCACTTTGAAAATGACACATAATTACATGCCTACGTCGGATTACCAAAATAATTCACACTGTGTTTAAGGAATGCTTAAGGGATACTTTACTTTCCAAGAGAATTACATGTTTCTGACACAAGCTGGCAACTTACTTCCTGAGACTTTATGAATACGTCCTTGGACCTGGATGGTAATCTTCCAGTCCTTCTACGTTCTTTTTCTGGAACATCAAGGATACTTCTGCAAAACCTTCAGGTTCACAAAACTTGCCAAGTATGTTTCCTCAAGCTCTAAGAAAGATTATTTTATTTCCTGAAAAACCTGAAAATATGTGAGTCTTCAAGAAAGAAACTTTTACGTTCTGGAGAGTACTCTTTATGTCGGTAGACTATGAATTGAGAAAAATACCCTGTAAGTCCTTTTAGCCTACCAGCATATTTTAGGTTACTGGTACAGGATGCATGTAAAGCAAACTCCCACTTGTCTCTGAAAGTAGTCACTTCTGAAAGTACTTACACTTTCTACTTCTGGGAAAGTGTAAGTACTTTCCCAGAACTTACACCTTGTTGGTTCTGGGAAAGTAAGTTGAATCTCCTAGGAAATGACTCTGTGTTACCAAGTAGCAAAAAGTACCAGAAACCTACAAGCTGTTTAAGAAAGCAGCCTGTGGGTTCCAGAAAGTACCTTGCAGTCTTGTCTTCTTTTTTATCTTGAGAACAGCGAGTCTTTGAAATTTTATCGTGATACTGTAAACACGGAGTGCATCCCTGTACGTGTTTATACTATGAGCTTTGACTAATCTCCATGGTGTTCAGTGTGTTTGCATGAACCAGCTGAAGTCCATCTGGATAAACTAGCTTTTGAAACTGTTGACCTATTTAAAGATAAAAATACAATTTTCCAAACGTCTCTTTGGCCTTACATTCATAACCCCCCCCCAAAAGTATGTGTTGTTTTATTTTAACAAAGCAATGCAGATGTAAAACTATGTCGTCTGAATCTATTGTGCATTTACGTAGCTGGATGCAGTCGAGGTAGTTTCAGTAAATGTGACGGCAAAATACAGCCCGTTGACGAACACCGGACAATTGTCAGGTAAACATGTTTATGTCACAGTGAGTAAAGCTCATATAAAACAAAAACAAATTTCAAACATGAGCACACAAAACGAGGCCTCATTCTGCGGCAGGGCGGCGTCGTTGGGAGGATTCGCCGTCGGCTCTGGATCACATCAAACAGCTGTCTTCTGATAGGAGTCTTTAACAACAACAAAAAATCCCCCCATTTGGATCCACAATTTGTCCTGTGGAGGTCGAACATGAAAGGCTCTGTGCTCGGTGATCCAGCGGGAGCCGGCAGGCTGGCACGTGTCGGTGCGAATGTGAGGAGTGGGGCTTTATTTAGGTGCCACCCAACTTCAAATTACACACCGGATAACTTCCTTTATGATTAAAGGCGAGGAGAGAGGCTTCGCTTTGCTCTCCTGCTGCACATCACTAGCCTCCTCTTCCTCCTCCACATGTTCCAGAGACATTCAGAGGAGGCCAAATTCAAGGAACAACACACGATTTGTTTTGGCTGCGTTTCGTTTCTACCAGACGGAAATTATTGGAACGTTTTAAATTCACACAGGCGTCACATCGTCTGCTTGTTCGCCTGTCGAAATACAAATACAGAGCAGAGGTTGAACGGCGTTCCCCGCCCCCATCAGGGAGAAACCTAATCCGTGGCATTTCACATGAATGTAGAGAAGTGACATTTCATCTGTTGGTCTGAAGCTAAATGACATTTTATGAAATACAATTAGCCCATCATGACATTTTACAACAAATAAGGCAAAAATTCCTTTGTCTACAGTGGTTCACCCTCCGCTCCCCCAGCACCACCACATCCACGCCTCTCCCAGTCCTCCCAGCGATCTGGTGCTCTTAACCAAAAGCGTTAGCTGGGCTAATGACGAACCCACATTTGGTGGCTGGGAGAGACATGAACCAGCTGTTGGATGCCCTGCGAAGTGTTTTGTGTTTATGCCCCAGACTTTCAGATTTTAGTGGTTATATTTTAGGTTGACGGACCAAAACTGCACGGTTTGTTGTGGGAAGAGTCGTTCGTCCAGATGTTTGATCTGTTTGGACAACAGCAGCAGAGATCTTCATTTAAATGAGGTCACAGGAACCTTTGCAGTGCCGATTGGCCGGTATGAAGCTGCCTCTCTGAAGTTGAGAGAGCTTTTAGGAGAAATTTCTGTGAAATTTCAAACCCATAACTAAAACTATAAATATTTCTTTTCATATTTAAACAAAATTTAATATGAATATGAAGGTTGTGTGGAGTAAAACTGATAGTTTCAGTGCGTTTACTTGATTCTAAGGAAGTTGCACAGATTGGTGTTGGGTTTTCTATTTATTTTTTTTCCCAGGCGAACTAGTAATTATTGCCATGTCGAATACTGCTTAATACATTTAATCAAACTCTTAAATGTTTTATATTTAAATATTTCTGTGACCATTTCATCTGTTCAGTTTTAGAAGGTAATTACCAAAACTCGTTATATTTCAGCTATTTGTTAAATCACTACACCACAACAGCTATTTTTTTTCTACTATGTCTTTATGCTTATGTGCATCAGCAGCTACCAAATCAGCCGAGGAATTAGATTTACCTGGTACTTTGCTTCCTTTTCTGTAAAATCTAATTAAAAAAAATATAATTTTATAGCAGAAATTCAACACTTCTAAACAAATTACTGGATGTTTCTCCTCACTGCTCTCCATGTAAAGAATAGTGACAGCGCATCATGTGCTAAAAATATATTAATCGATGTGAATATCACAATGCATGCTAGTTTCCATGATATTTGAATAGCAGCATCAGGGTGTGTATCTGGCTTTCATTAGTCAGATATGCGTCGCTCATCAACAGGCTCTCTTTGTCACTGTCATTTCCCGTTTCTATCAAGTGGCTCTTTGTTCCAGCGAGCCTCTGATATTCAGAAACCCAACAGGACGCACCGATAAAGGTGACAGACAGCCTGCTGACGGACCCGGTCGTTGTAGAGTTGCTCTGGATGTGAAACTTGCCAATTTGTGGAGCCACTCGCTCTCTGAAGCACATTCATCTTTTGTTCATTAGAGAGATCCTTGATTATTACAATCAACACAGATTGAGATAATGACTGCAGAGAGAGTTTGTTTCTCTTTCTGCAAGGCTATAAACAGTCCTCTGACGAGGCGGGTGATTCAGAGTCTGGCTAAAGATACAGAGCGAACGAGGGTGGATGATTACAGAAAGTGCACATGAAGACCCTGAGATGTCCAGGCTTTCTCACACTCGCATACAGCCTGTCACCCAGAGGCTGTGATGAACGACATGCATGAACCAGAGTGTCAGAAGGAGTTAGAGAAGAGTCCAAGCTGTCAGGAGAGAAAGCTGTCCGCCCTGTTCCTCCTCCTCATCCCGCTCCTGTACTGTCTCCGCTACCTGCTCGTTATTTTTACTGCCTCACTTGTCCTGAAGCGTTAAAATAAAGCAGGCGCTCTATGTGGCAAGTGGGAATACGCTGCTGGGAAACCATCCGCCGATGTTGGGGCCGTTGCACAAGCGTTGGCCCCATCAAAGCGGTTGCACATGAGTGCAGTGGGAGTTTGTGGAGTTTACTTTAACATGAGGATTAGTAAGGTGCTTGCTGCTCTCTGCCCGTCGCTGTTGACCAGACAGTCTCTCTTTGTCCCGCCTGATGTTTTTAGAGGCCTGAGTCAACATTTTCTGCTGCGTTGCGTCAGAACATGCATCCAGTGTGGGACCTGGAGAACAGCCAGGCCAGCTCTGCTGAAGGTGTCTTTTGGCAGAAAGCGTCCAACTGGACGGATCATTTCCACGCCAGCCAGAAACACTCGCAGCGCATCAAGAAGAGGGTCTTAGATTTGCAATGAATGACGAGCTTCAGGATGCGACTGAGATTAGATGTTGAGCTGGCTGCCAAGGAAAATGACCCATGTGTGAGGCAACAGCAGCATGTTTAAAGAAGCCTACACATTTTTAACGTTGAGTAGGAAAGATAAATAATTTAAAGTTTTTGTGGATGGAGTAGTTTTTATTTTTATCGAATAAGTAATGCTATGTTCTCATTTGAGCCCTGGTGTGCAGCAACTCAAACAAACAAAAAAAAAACACTTCTCCTGTTTCCCCCAATCTGACCAGAGAATACAGAGAAGCTCACAAATCTGTTTTCCAAATGAAAGTCAGGTCTCATTTCTCTAATGACTTAGATAAACATTCTCTCACTGGATGCATGACAACCTGTCAACAACAAACAGGTAAAGATGATGGATGGAGAAAGTGATTATATTTATCCCATTAGAAATGTAAATAAACATTTATATACAAAAAAAAAAATAGCAACAGTGAGATGACATTTGTTCTGTAATTTGTATTTGTAATGACATAGCTGACACTTTTTAGGCCCTGTGTTCAAATTGGCCGGACGTTTAGAGTCGGAGGCTTTTCTTAAGAATGTTGAGTTTACAAGCTTATTTGAAAGCCATGTGTATAAAGTACACAATAAGAGCAACTTATTACAAGTTACAAAATAAGTGTGCAAAGTTGTGCGAGCATGAAAGCGTGTTGTTTCTGCAATGCACTGAACAGGAAGTGCTTTTATTTTGAAGTAACTCTGTTTGACTGACACCAGTTGAGCAGTGAGAGTGAAATGTCAAGGAAAAGCTCAGCTTTGAAAAGACCAGAGCTCAGATATTTAAGAGTTAAATATCCATGAGCTCATGACTTTAAATACACAACTAACATAATTAAGTTGTTATGAGTTATTAATAAGCCACATCTAGGAATGTCCCATGGCTAATAAATCAAATGTAACATTTGATTGAAAAATATGCGAACCACCTGTGAGAGCTGCTCTCTGTGGCTTACTGCATCATGACTTACCTCTGTCAATTGGTTGAGATAAAGATTAACTTTGACCCTCAGGAGTTGAATTGTGACACTTGGATCATCAAAATCTGTGAACACAATTCCGCGTCTGAGCCATGGCGTTTCCTCATGTCGTTTTATTATTGGATTAAATCTTTCCATGATGAAAAGAATCAGCAAAGAATAAATCAAATTTGTCTTGAGTGAAAAGAAAAGGAACTGGAATTTTTTTTGGATTTTTAAAATCTTAATTTGTACTTATCTACCAAAATCAGAATCACTCAATTATTCATGAAGTAAGAAAAAAAAATCTTTAGCCAACTTGATCAACTTAGCCAAGTTGATTTTGACGCCTTATCACATCTGAATGTGTTGCAAAAACAAA